CAAACCATCAAGAATGTCCACCTGCCCTTGGCCCTAGGATTCTGATTCCACAGAACAACGGAGTTACGGGAGCACGTGGTAGAAGGACACATCGGGCAAGTCCCCATCTCTGAACTTCAGTTTCCTGGAACATAAAGAAGACATTTAATATGTTTCAAAGTTATTTGAAAGGTTGTTTGAAGAGAAGTGAGGGGGAGCAGAATAGGTGACCCCAAAATGTGCTCCTTTGGCGTGTGGATTGCTTTGAGTGGAAGACAATTAAGATCCAGCCAACTCAGGAAATGCATTTTTGTCTCCTTTAACTGATCAAAATAATTTAGATTAGGGGGCCCATGCCAGGAGGAGAGCTGTTACCAGAGGTAACTTTCTATCTCAGAAAGACTTGTCTGCATGGAGTGACAAACATTGTTTACCAAGCATTTCTTCATTCCCTCTTGCCGTGGGCTGCCTTCCTCTCCTTGAAGTCCCAGACCCTTACCCCCTTCTTCTTAGCTCAGGTTAGCATATAAGCTTCAATTGCCTCACTGTCTTTGATCCTGTGAGTTTTTGTGGTGCTCCTGTACAGAGCAAATTAAATTTGTTAATCTAAATTGTATCAATTTAATTATTAACCCAGCCAAAGAAACTGGAAAGAAAACTTTCCTGCCCCTGCAGAGCAAAACCTTCCAACACAGATCCTGGCACGCAGTTGCAGCTTAACTGGTATGAGTGAAGCAGGTAAGAAAGCAGATCTTTGAATTGTAATCAACCAGGTCTACTGGTTCAAATCCAGCCCTGCTAGGTATTAGCTTGCTTGATTTTGCAAAAACTACATAGGACTTTTTATCCTCTTTTACTCTAAAACAGGGGAAATAATTACCATCATTTCCTCCCTTCCCTGATATGTGTGGAGTGACTCTTTAAAGGGCTGAATGTTCAGACAGCTCAGACTCCACACATTTCCTCATCAAGGATCCTGAAACCTGACAGTGTCCTGTTTCATTGCCTGCAGTGCGAAATGGAACAGGAACTCTGAGTTGGGGCAGAATGAGATGGAATTTGTAGGGAGGGACAGACTCCAGCCCAGTGCAGTGACAGCATCAAACCAGAGCAGCCTCCCAGTTGCCTGCAGGGAGGGAGGACTAACCTTCATCTTGAATCAGAAATGACAGGACTCTGCGTCCTATCCTTTGGGGGCATGGAGTGTCTCCTCACTGCACGGCTCTGCTGGGCGAGGCGGACCCAGGCAACACAAGTTACCATCACGAGTGTCCACCCATAATATTCCAAAGTCCAAGTTTTGCATTTTGATTAAGAGCAAGCATTCAAAGAGCCAGGAAACTATGATGAGCATCTTGGTTCCACCACCACCCCTGTGCCTTTGAACAAGCCATTTATTTCTCTGGACCTCTGTTTTCTTCTTTTTCAAACACTGCTGAGGAACCCTTGTGCACAGTTAGCAGGAATGTAAAATGGTGCAGCTGCGTGGATAAAGTATGGTGGTTCCTCAACAAGTTAAAAATAGAATTCCCATATGATCCACAATTTCACCTCTGGGTGTACACCCAAAAGAACTGAAAATAGGGTCTCAAAGAGGTATTTGCATACCCATGTTCATAGCAGGATTATTCACAATGAAAGATGGAGGCAATCCAAATATCCGCCCACAAATGGATGGATAAATGGCAATGAGGTCTATACACACAGCGGAGTATCATTCAGCCTTAAAAAGCCAGGAAATTCTGACCCGTGCCACAACACGGAGGAGCTTGAGGACATTATGCTACGTGACCTAGGACAGTTACAGAAAGACAAATACTGTATGATTCCAGTTGTATGAGGAACTGAGAGTGGTCAAATTCACAGAGACACAAAGGACAATAGGGGTTTGCCAGGGGCTGGGGTGAGGGGAAAATGGGGAGTTATTGTTAAATGGGGACAGAGTTTCAGATTTACAAGATGAAAAGAGTTTTGGAGATTGGTTGCACAGCAAGGTAAATATACGTAACATTACTAATTGCACACTTAAAATGGTTGAGATGGCCAATTTTATGCTATATGTATCTTACCACCGTATTTCAAAATTACTGTCAATAATAAATAATAGATCCAGCTTCAGAGTTGCTGGCTTAGCAAACCCAATGGTGATTTAATATAAATCACCATACAGCCCTCCTCCGGTGATACTAAAATCCCCAGATGCTCAAGTCCCTTACGATTGCCTGGGTATCCACAGAGGGGAAACCCACAGATACAAAGGGCCAGCAGAATACAGGAGACTGGATCAGTGGTCCACATGTCGCAAACCTTGCATAAATGTTATCTTTACTATTATTCACACCTGATCCCCAGTCAGAAAAAGAAGTCTTAGAATCTCCAGGCACCCACCTCTTCTCACACAAACTCGCACCTCTCCCAGCTCCTCCTGCTTTCATCTGGGAATAATTGTCTTTCCACCCTCAGGCTGGAGGTAGGCTGACCCAACCCCACTCTCGGATTGCAGAGGTCTTTCCAGGAGTATCTGAACCCAGTGCCAGTCTCCTACAGAAAAGGGGTTACCCAAGACTTACTGGATTTTTGGAGTAGATCCTGGAGCACTGGATTCAAGTCAGTGATGCTGAGTTTAAGCCATGTAGGGCTGGGACTGACGCATCTCTAAAAATACAAGCGGGGAGTCCTGGAGCATAAAAGACAACACTTATCCTCTAGGTTGCTGGGATAGGGATGGGGGGAGCACTGTAGTGGTGCTATCAGCCCTCGACACTTGTGTGGTTACCCTCAAGAATGGTCTGAATGTTTTTGTATTGTGGTAAAATACACATAACATAAAACTTGCCACTTTTATCATTTTTAAGTAATGTTAAATACGTTCACATTTTGTGCAAGCAAACCCCAGAACTTTTTCATCTTGCAAAGCTAAAGTTTTGTATCCTGTGAACAATAATTCTGTCTTTCTACCCCACAGTTCCTGACAATCACCATGCTACTCTCTGTCTCAATTAATATGACCATTTGAGATACTTCATTTAAGTGGAACTATATATCACTTACTTAGGCTTATTTCAATTATTATAATGTCCCCCAAATTTCTCCATTCTGTAGCATCTAGAAGTGTTCCCTTCCTTTTTGATGCTGACTAATACTCTGTTATTCGTACATACCATGTTTGGCTTATCTATTCACTGGTCAGTGGGCACTTGGGTTGCTTTCATGTTTTGGTTACTGTGAATAATGCCGCTATGAACATAAGTGTAAAAATATCTCTTCCAGAGTGTGCTTTCAATTCTTTTGGGTGTATCCTCAGAAGCAGAATTGCTAAATCCGAGGGCTCTAAGATTTTTGTATGCTTGTAAAGGAGAAATTTTCACATAGTGAGGTACTGGGTGTAGCTGAGCAGGCCCATTGCCATTGGTGACCATCTGATATCTGTAACGATGTTTGAAACTGTTTAAGTGTGTAATGGTTGACAGAGTTTCTCTCAGGGGAGGGTGTAGCTCAAGCGGTAGAGCATATGCTTTGCATGCATGAGGTCCCAGGTTCAATCCCCAGTACCTCTTCTAAAAATAAACAAATAAGTAAAACTAATTACCTCCAACCAACAACAACAAAAAATAAATTAAAATAAAGTTTTTCTCATGCTCTTGCTGAGCAGGGCTAAGCTGGAGAGGAGGGACACTGGGGTGACCTGCCCAGCCCCTTTTGGTGCTACGTGCAGGGGTCAGGCTCAGTGCACAGCTGTCACATCCAGTGTCCTCCTCTTGACCACAACACCTCATAAACAGCAGATGGATGTTTTGTGCATCTTGTTCATAAATCGCCCCAACTGCACATGTCTGCCGTTGTTTTTGGCCCCTTGTGATTTCCTTAAATCCTGTTGCTTGAGGAGGTGCCAGGCCTCAGCCTACTTGAAAGGCTAAAAGCATTTATCAACCTGACTTGAAACTGCACAAGTTTTCTCTAGAGCTCTTTTTCACAGAGCCTCTTCCTATGCATCTTTTGTTCTAGGTACAAGAATATTAAAGAAAAGACCCAAAGCCAGAGGTGAACTTCATACCCAGCAGAGGGAAGGGGGCTGCTGCATCTGCAAAGACAGGAACAAGTTTGCAACAGTTTGTCACCCTGTGTGAGATCTCCATGGAAATTAGCTCCACTCCTTGAACTCTTGAACTTTTACTATAAAACCCCCTCCCTTCTCTCCCCAGCCGGCTCACAGTCTTAGAGGCATTAACCCACTGTGACCTCATTTGCCAGGGAAAGAAATAAAGCTGCCTTTTCTACTTCATCTAAAACTCTGTCCCTGAGTCTCAATTTGGTAAGCAGGGTTTGGAGGCCAAGTTTCAGCAACATGGGGAAGTTACTTTGGCTTACATATGGTTCAGCCTGAGCTTGGTGTAAATGAACACAAACTGTCAAACACTCACAGCATGTCTGCTTTAACCATTAAGGTAAAGGATTTTTTTTTTTTTTGAAGACAAGAATGACTAACTCCCCTCTTACAGTGTCCACCTTAACCTTCCTGGAAGATAAGGTTCCCCTCCCAGACACCAAGGTCCTGTGGTGTTGCTGTCTATGTACTAAGTCTGTGTCTTGAAATCTTTCTTCTGTCATTTTTTAAATTATTTTTTCTTTTTCTTTCACAAACCCTTGTGTCAGGGATTGACATTCAATAGACCGCAGTGAGGGAGCTGCTTTGCTATCTGCGAAACCCCAACTCAGAAGCAGGCGGTCTACAAACGGTGTAGCACCAGGCTCCCCAGCGTGTGGCATGTGAATGGTGAGGGGGTGGCCCCCTTTCCAGCCACGCCCTGTGTCGCAGGATGTCTCCTGAACTCTTGAGGGAAAATACCCTGTCAGGTGCGATGTGTGTTGTTTGTTCAGATAAGGTAGAAGTCCGTTCTGAAAACCGTGCTTCAATGGAGCAGTTCCTCAGAGCGATCTGAGAGGCTGTCATCCCGGCTCGAGTCCTCAGAAATGTCCACCAAATAAAATGTAACTGTCAGCTCTTAGGCTGTGCCTTTATTTCAGTCGACATCATTGTGAAATGACCCACTTTGTCTGTTATTATTCTCTTTTTCATAAAGTCTGCTTTGTCTGTTATTAATATAGCTGCCCCAGCTTTCTCGTGTTACTGTTCACGAGGGGGGTCTGTTCTGTTCCTTTTACTTGCAACCTCTTTGTGTCCTAATATTTAAAGTGCAACTCTTGACAGATACATAGTTTTTTGTGTTTGCTTCCCATGTGGCAATCTCCATGTTTTTGCTGGAAATAAGCATAAAAAGACACTCCTTATGTGCAGGTTAATATTTTATTTCTTCCTCTGGTTTCTGGTTACATTATTATACTTTCTTTATGAAAATTCATCTTGCTGAATATTTAAGAAGTCTGCCCTTTTAAATATGTATATTATTCTTTTGAATGTTTACTTAAAAGTTAGTGACCATTAACTTCATTTTGTCCTCTGCCATGAGTACAGGGCTCTAAATGCATGCTGCCTTCACTCTCCATTGAGGCTCAAAGTGTCCATGACCCAGCAGGTACCTTCCGTGTTTAGAGGGATTCCACACAGCATCCGTCTCCTGTGGTTAAAAGGATTCATCACCAGGGATGATTTGTCAAGAGTTTAGGAGTCAGAGGCTGGAGGCTGTGGATCAGTGTTCCCCGCCAAGCTGTGTCGGATCCCATATCCAAAGTATATGGCGAATCCTAGTCGGGCAATAAGACAATGAGAAGGAAAAGTAGGCACTCTTCCCACTTACAAAGGCCCAATAGGCCTCCTATTGTGGAGTCTGACACAGTTTGGGGGAGGGGTAGTAGGAAGAGGGTTGGATTTAGTCACTCAAGAAGTCTCTTTATCCCAGAAACTCACTTACCAATGGCATTCCAGATGCCAAACTGGGCCCAGGTCTCAGGGGTTACCTGCATCATCCAGTAAACATTCACAAAGATGCTCATAAGAGGGAGGACAGGCATTGCAGGGACCTGCGGGCAACGTCAGTTAATCCCTGAACACGCCACAGACCTTGCAAAGGCAGGCCCCGCCCCCACGTGGGTGGGGAGACTCCAGTCCTAGTCACACTGTGCATCCAGTGCCTACTGAGGTTGGGTGTGTAAAGCACTGAGAATGGATCAGGGAAGGGCCACTGGTTATAGCAACTCCTCTCCTTCCCTGGTCCAGCCAAGATAGTTCAGACTCACAGTGTGCAGACATCACTCACTCAGGGTGGAGTTTGGGCACATAAGGTCACCCACCTTGAAGAGAAGAGGAGTGGGGCCCCGGGGCTGCCTCCAGATGGTGACAGTGACCCCGGTGATGAGCACCAGCAGCAGCACAGCCACCGTTGTGCAGACGGGGTCTCCAGAGAACACACGGCGGGGCCACTGGGCCAGCACCAGGCTCAGGGCCGTCAGCAGGGGAACTGTAGGGTCCAGTTGGAGGAGAACAGGGTCAAGTCCAGAAGCCAGTGTGTCATGTCCTTGGGTCACACGCCTCCCCAGACTGCCCACATCAGGAAGCTCATATTATCTCCAAGAATTCTCAACACCTGCCAAGGTCACACTCCCACCCCATCCTCTCAATTTCTGAACACCTCCAAAGAGCCATCCCACGGCTCACCAAGCAGTAAGGCACATCCGTAGACAATCCGGCCGGATTTCTGAGAGGGGCTGGTGTTCACATGGCTCCACAGAAGCTTTAGAATGTTTGAGGTTCCTGCTTCAGGCTCAGGTTTGGAAGAACTTGGTTCACGTTCAGAAATTTCACTTTTGTTCTTTGTGTTCTCATTCTTGCTTGAATTCAGATCTGGCTGGTACCTGAATTAGAAGTATTAAGGAAATATTAACAGCAGCCCCTACTCAGCCAACATCAGCCAGCTTATCCCACCTCTGTCCTGCCTCAAGCATGGCGGGACTGTTAGAAGGCAGCATGAGGGCAGAAGAGGATTAACTCCCCATCAGTCTCCATGAGCCCAAGACCCCCAGCCAAGGTGTCATGGAGTCTCACCTGAGGACAAGAACAGAAAAAGGCATGATGGTGTACGCAAGCAGGATCCCAAGAGATATCAGTTCCACGATGTCATGGAACTTGAAGAGTAACGCCAGGAGCCCTAGAATGAGTGTGTGGGGAGGGAGTGAGAAGCCACTGGAAAAGTCCAAAACAAGGAAATTAATCAAAGAAGGAGAGTGATTTATTTACTCACCTGCAAGACTTCCAGAAGACATGGTGGCCATGATGGGAGTGCCTGTGCCGGCACGGATGCGGGCAAGTTCCCGGAAAAGGAGCCCGTCATCTGCCATTGCATAGGTCATGCGAGACATGAAGAACATGGTACCTAAGAGGCTGGGGAAAAAATGGAAATGTGTGTGAGGACACGGAGATACAGGACAGATTGGAGCATCTGATCTTTAATCTACTGCTCTGAATCTATTTGGCATACGGTGTATTTCCCTCTAAGTGTCTCTCAATGTCAAGGGACAGGATACCTGAGAATCTGACGGTAGATGGGGAGGAAGCCTTGACACTGACCTGTATAAAAGAGCACACAGGATGACAACAGCCATGACATAGCTGGCAGGGGCCCACCCAACATGGAGAAGAGCCTGCGGCAAGGGGTTGTAAGGATCAGTCTGGTAGTACGGCACCATGAGGGTGAGTGACGCTGAGACGCCAGAATATACCAAAAAGCAGATGAAGATGAAGATGGCCATGCTCAAGGGGATGGAGCGCTGAGGATTTCGGGCTCCCTTCCCTGCAGAAGGAGTGGAAGCACTGGATCAGAACACACTGGGGTGAAAGCACAAAATCCCCTACCCTCTTAAACCTCCAAAAGCCGGATAGTCTTCTACCAACCCCTTTGCCCAAGGGCAGCCCAAACTGGCCAAACTTCTGCTGGGAAACACAATCAGCATGTTACCTTTATTGACAATGACAGCAAAACCAAAAAACAAATAGTAGCATAAAGCTGCTCCTCGGAGAATCCCATCAAAGCCGAAGGGCACAAACCCTCCAGAACCCACAGGGCCCAACCTATGAGAGAAGAAACGAGGAAGAACGTGGGTGAGGTGTGTTCAGCCATCTCTGCTGGACTCCTCAGTTGATACCATGAGTCCTGAGCTCCAGGACCCGCAGCATCTGGATCCGCCAGCCCGGATCTCCTTAGTTCCCAACATTTTCCCAGCTCTGCCCCAACCCCCCCCACGCACACTATGATCAAGAGTACCCTTCTGAGCTATAGGTGCCAACATTTTCCCAGCTCTGCCCCAACCTCCCCCCACGCACACTATGATCAAGAGTACCCTTCTGAGCTATAGGTGCCGTTGGGTCCAGATGCTGCCAAGTTATAGTCCTGTTCCATGAGCTGCCAGTTGCGCAGGTCTCCCTTAATGAAGCCAGAGAGGAGGATGAAGCTGAGAACCAAAAGGTTCAGACCTATGGACACTTTGGCAACGAGGGATGTCACACGAGCTCCTAAAATCAGTACTCCTGTGGGGAAAGATGGGATATAAAACATTCAAAATAACCTCCTTAGAGACAGAAAGAAGAGCAGTGGTACCCAGGGGCTGGGTGAGGGGACCAGGTCAGGTGGCAGACGGACAGTGACTGCTCAGGGGGAACGGGGTTTCCTTCTGGGGTGATGAAAATATTTGGAACTTGATGGAGGTGATGGTTACACAACATTGTGAATGTACTGAATGTTATTGCGTGTACACATTAAGAGGCGTAATTTCTTATTGTGACAATCATCTCACGTATATACATCTATTAAACCATCACATGCTACACCTTAAACCTGTGCAGTGTTGGATGTCAAATATATCTCAATAAAGCTGGAAAAAACAGTAAAATGTTTAATTTTATGCTATGAGAATTGCCTCTGTATTGAAAAACAAAACCTCTCTAGTCACAGTAGAGAGGAAGAAATTTCATCTAAGGAAATGATTCAGAGCAGGGCTGATTTTGCCTCCTAGGGGACATCTGGCAGCGTCTGGAGACATTTTGATTGTCACACTTTGTGGGATGGGGTCACTGAGTAAAGGCCAGGGATGTACTCAACATCCAACAATCATTTTTTAAAATCCTTATTGCACAGGACTGCATCCCACACCAAAGAATGATCCAGCCCAAGCTGTATATGGTGCCAAGGGGAAAAAAAATGATGGTCTATTTTTTGCCTTCTTGTCATAGTTCTTTCCCATCCTAATCTCCCACCATTCTGCCATCCAACCCTTTCCCACCCAACTTCCCCTCCACACCCAACTCTTCCCATCCTATCTCTGACCCCTATCTCACCAATCATGAGCAACACCAGGCCCAGCGCCACAAAGTCTGGGTACGCGGCCAGGAAGTAGGGCATATGCACAGAGAAAGTGCCCTGTAGCCCCTGAGAGATGTGGTTCCCAGTCAGGCTGTCAAAGGCGTAGCTCCAGGCCTTGGCCACACAGGCAGTGTCTGCAGTGGCAATAGGACTATTTATTAACAAATATAAATTCATTCCCTACTATGTGCCATGGGACATTTAAAAAAAAATAAAACAAGATACCTAATCTCAAAGAGAGACGGGAGGTCTGGGAGATGAGGGTCAAATTTAAATCGAGTGGTAAAGGAAAACCCCATGAAGGCAACAGCTGAGCAAAGACTTCAAAGCGCTGAGGGATGCGCCTGTGGGACATGTCCCCCCTCACCCACTTCCTACAGTTCCCTTTCCTTCTGGGTTTTCAGCCCAATCATTTAAGGGAAATGGGCTAGAGCAGAGTAGCATGACGTTATGGGGTTTTTCTGCCACTAAAACCCACTTCCCCTGCATGACCAGTAACAAGGTGCTTATGAATGAGTGAAGACTCCAACCCTCCCCACTAGTTTCCCAGCCTTAACCCCCACCCCTTCCCTCTCCCCATCATCTCACAAATGACAGAGAACAGTATGAAGTTCCAGCCAGTGATGAAGGCAAACAGTTGTCCCATGGTGACGTAGCTGGAGAGATACAGAGAACTGGAGCGTGGCACCCTGGCCCCAAGCTCAGGATAGCAGAGCCCAGACAACAGAGAAGACAGGGCGGCCACCAAGAAGCTGATGATAATCGCTGGTCCAGCTATATGCATGGCCACTGCGCTAGCCATGATGTACGCGCCAGCCCACAGGGTGCTGCCCACACCCAAAACCACCAGGTCTAGGATGTTCAGATGAGCCACGTGGCTCTCATACTCCTCTGCGGGCTCCAGCAGCCGCCTGCAGACCAGCTTCTGGCCAAATTGGAGAACATCCTGACACCGCATCCTAGACAGGGTTGAGGAGGCTCAGATCTGCTGAGACAACAAGACACAAAGCCATCAAGAACATCCATCCATCCTTAGCTCTGGGAGCCCAGTTCCACAAAGCAGCAGAGATCTGGAGAGCAGGTAGGTAAGTGGGCACATTGGGCAAGTTCCTCATCTCTGAGCCTCAGTTTCTTCAAACAGAAGGAAGACTTTTTTTTTTAAATTCAAGTATAATCAGTTACAATGTGTCAGTTTCTGGTGCCCAGGAAGACTTTAAATATGTTTCAAAATTACTGAAGGGAATGCTTGAAGCGAAGTGAGGGGGAGAAGTATACGTCTCCCCAAAATGTGCCACTTTGGCGTGTGGGTTGTTCTGACCCAGCAGGCTCAGGAAAAGCTTTTTGTCTCTTCCTTAACTGCTCAGAATAATTCAGACAGGGTGCCTATGCCTGGAAGGGAGCTATTACCAGAGAGAGTTTTTATCCCACTTGCTGCATAGAGTGCCAAATACTTGCTCTTCCCGTCTCCCTGTGGGTTTCTTCCTCCCCTTTGAAGCCCCCCACCCCTACTCCCCATGCCTTAGGTCAGGGTAACATATTAGCCTCAAATTGCCTGGCTGCCTTTCAGCCTCAGTGTTTTTATGGGGCTCCTTACACACTAAATTAAATTTGTTAATCTGTCTGATGTCAACTTAATTCTTAGAAAGCAAAATTTCCTGTTTTTACAGAAGCAAAAGCTTACTGCACAGTGCCTGGCACACAGTAGGTGCTTAATTAGTATGAGTTGAATGGACAAGAATACTAATTTTTAACATTGAAATCAACCAGCTCTCTTGGTTCAAATCCAGCCCTGATAGTATTAGCTTGTCTGATTTGGCACAAGCTACATACCATCTTTGTCCTCCTTTCCTCTATAAAAGAGGGAAAATTATTACTGTCATTATTCCCTGCCTTCCTTGATATGCGTGAAATGACCCTGTAGGGGGTTAGTGATCAGAGAGCTCAGATTCCATTCATTACTTTGCAGAAGAACCTGAAACTTGATGACTTTCTATTTCATTGCTTCCAGAACAAAATGTAATTGGAACTCTGCTTTGGCAGAGAATGAGATGGAATTTGCAGGAAGAGACAGACTCCACCCCAGCTCAGCTGAAGCATCAAACCAGAGTCCTTCCCCAACTGACTGGAGGGAGGAAGGGCTAACCTTCATTCTGAGTCAGAAATTCTGAGTAGGACTCTGTTCCCTTCTTCTCTGGGACCTAGAACATCTCCTCACTACACTGCTCTGCAGGGCTAGGCTGACCCACTTAACACAAGTTACCATCAGGGGGCTTTTGTTCCTGACACTCCAAAGTCCAAGTTCAGCATTTTGGTTAAGGGTAAACATTCAAACAGCCAGGAAACTATGGTTAGAATCTCGGCCTCTCCACCACCCCTGTGCCTTTGAACAAGCCATTTACTGCTCTGGACCTCTGTGTGCCTCTTGTTCAAATGCTGCTGCTGATCCCTCGTGCTCTGTTAGTAGGAACATAAAGTGGTGCATCTGCTGTGGGTAAGTGTGCTGGTTCCTCAACAGATTAAAAATAGAATTACCATAAGATCCACACGTCCACTTCTAGGCGTATACCCAAAAGAACTGAAAATAGAGTCTCAAGGAGATATTTGTACACTCATGTTCATAGCAGCATTACTCACAGTAGCTGAAGATGGAAGCAACTCAAATGCACATCCATGAAGGAATGGATGAACACAACGTGGTCTATGCACACAGTGGAATATTATACGGCCTTTAAAAACCCAGGAAATTCTGACCCAGCTTCAACATGGAGGGACCTTGAAGACATTATGCTAAGTACCATAAACCAGTCACAGAAAGACAAATACTGTATGATTCCAGCTCTGTGAAGTACCTACAGTAGTCAAGTTCATGGAGACATAAAGGAGGATGGTGGTTTGCCAGGGGCTAGGCGATGAGGGAATGGGGAGTTATTGTTAATGACGACACAGTTCCAGTTTTACAAGATGAAAAGGGTTCTGGAGATTGGTTGCTTGACAAGGTAAATATATTTAACATGACTGAACTGTACACTGAAAAATGGTTAAGATGGCCAATTTTATGCTCTATGTATTTTGCCACCATATTCTTAAACTACTGCCAATAATGCATAATAGATCCAGTTTCACAGAGTTGTTGGGTTAGCAAGCCAAATGGTGGTTTAGTAAATCACCATACAGTCCTCGTCTCCTAATACCAAGAGCTGTGGATGCTCCACCGCCTGGGTATCCGCAGAGGGGAACCCACAGGTAGAAAGTGCTGGCAGAACAGCAGGAGACTGAAGTCAGCGGCCCCCACATCATAAACCCTCTCTACGGGTAATTTTACTGTTGTTTGAACCCCAGTCAAAAAAAGGAGTCTTAGAATCTCCAGGGACAAATCTATCCCCCACCTCTTCTCACACAAAGGCACACAGCTCCCAGCTCCTCCTGCTTTCATCTGGAAAATGGGTCTTGCCACCCTCAGGCGGGAGCCAGGCTGACCCGACCACAGTCTCCGTTTGCAGAGGCCTCTTCGGGAGTATCTGAACTCAGTGCCTGGTCTCCTACAGAAGAGGGTTTACCCAAGACTTGCTGGACTCTTGGAGTAGATCCTGGAGCATTGGATCCAAGTCGGTGAGGCTGAGTCTAAGCCGTGTAGGGCTGGAACTGAAGCATCTCTAAAAACAGAAGGGGGAGTCCCTGTGCACAATAGCGCATCCCTGACTCCTGAGCTGTTGGGTGGAGGTGGGGCCGGGTGGGCGGGGAGCTTCTGTGGTGGTGCTATCAGCCCTCCGCACTTCTGTGGTTGCCTTCAAGGAGCGGGCTGAGACGCTTTTTTTTGTAATGTGGTAAAATACACATAACATAAAGTTTACCACTTTAATCATTTTTAAGTATTGCTAAGTACCTTCACAAACTCCAGAACTTTTTTCATCTTGCAAAACTCAGATTCTGTACCCATTCAGTAACAATTCCCCTTTTTCCTCTATGGTTCCCGGCAATCACCATTCTACTTTCTGTCTCTATGGATCTGACCACTTGGGAGCCTTTATTTAAGTGGAGTTATACCTGTCGCTTACTGTCAGGCTTATTTCAGTTATTATAATGTCCAAAAGATTTCTCCATTTTGTGGCAAGGGTTGAATCCATTCCGTTTTAATACTGAATAATACCCTCTCATTTGTACACACCGTGTTCGGCTTACCATCTGTGGTCCTTGGGCACGTGGGTTGCTTTATATTTTAGCCGCTGTGAATAATGCTGCTGTGAACATGGGTGTACAATCACGTCTGCCGGAGTGTGTTTCAACTCTTCTGGGTGTGTCCTCAGACGCAGAATACTGGACTAGAGGGCTCTAAGATTTTTGTATGCTTGTAAGGGAGAAAATTTTCACAGCCTGAGGCATTGGGAAGTCATTTTGGCTTCTACATGGTTCAGCCTGAACTTTTGTTTTTTGTTTTTTTTTCCCAGCCTGAACTTTGTGTGACCTAAATAGACCTGTGACACTTTCACAGCACAACTGCTTTGACCACTGAGGGAAGAGTATCTGGACGATAAGGATGAACAACCCCTTCTTATGGCGTCTGTGTTCAACGATAAGGTTCCCCTCGCAGACACCAGGGTCCTGCTGTCCTGCTGTCTACATACTAAGTCGGTCTCTTTTGAAATCCTGAAGGAACATACCCTGTCATGTCTGATGCATGTTCTTTGTTTGGATGAGGTGTAAGTTTGTGCTGAAAACCAGGGTTCGATGGAGCAGCTCCTCAGGCTATCAGAGAGGCTGGCCCCCGGGCTATAGGTCTCAGTTTGGCTCAAATAAAACCCTTTCCTATTCCCAGTATAGACTGTTTATTGACTGTTTCCGTGGACACTTGAATTCAGTTGCTCATCGGCCCCACTCACAACCCCCTTCCCTCCCAGAATTTTCACTCTGCTCAACTTTCCAGTCTGCACATGGACAGAGCCAGCTACCTCACCACGAAATTCCCATTTTACATAGGTTATGTAAGGACTTATCCTGTGTCTTATTTCTCCATTTCTTTGCCAAACTGTAGAGGTTTAGAAGGAAGGTTAGGTGACTTTTCCAGGCTCACACAGCCAGTAAAGTGTGGAAGCATACGGTACGGAGGAGAGAAACATGTAGGTCCTGGAGGGTGTCCACGTTGTACTACTGTCCCTGAAAGGAGCAGAAATCATCTCCCCAAAACCACCTTCTTCACGTTGTTTCCGTGCCCAGAAACTTTCACAGACTCCCTGCTACCCGTGGGGGCCACCATTTGTATGGATTCTGACGGAGTAACATGTTCATGCTTCGCTCTGTCTCCTGCTTCTGCCAACTGGTTTATCCCTTTCATCACTCCAGAGCAAGGGGAATAATTTTAGACATCCTTCACAGCTTTCCACAAGACATCCACATCCATCAGTTATTTCATGATTTTCACATGAAAGTGAGGCATCAGATGCAGGGAAGACACTCTCATCTCACAGAACCCCTTCCCCCTCTCTTCTCTAGCCTCCTCCAAATTTCTCTCTGCGTTTTTTTTCTCATGTAAAATAATCTACATAGAACCACTCATAGACTAGACATGGCATTAAAGTCTCATTTTTCCATTCCAAGTAGTTTAACAATTTTCCCCCCAAATATTGTGTTGTTTCTTTGATAATATCTGGTACATAAAAATTTCTCCATCTTGCATGACATCAAATATTACACGTACTTGTGATCATTGTTTTCATTTCTCATCAAATATAATTGAGCACTTACTGTATTCCAGACACTGTTTTAGCTTCAGGAAGTAAATGGTGGTTAAAACCTTTATAGGTTGAATGCATCTTCCTGCTCTCAAATTTATCTGCTGAAGTCCTAACCCCCAATATGTCAGAATGTGACTGTACCTGGGGATAGGGTGTTAAAGAGGTAATTAAAGTTAAATGAAGTCATTAGAGTGGGCCTTAACCCGGTATGACTAATGTCCTTATAAGAAGAAATTAGAATGCAGAGAGCACACACAGAGACCAAAGGTTGACAGATTTATTAAATAAA